TTTGTGAGCAAAAATTCTACTTTGTGAGCTCCTGGCATTAAAGTTGTGAGCGAGCGAGCGATTTGGCTCCTGCCTAAACGAGTTTGCTCTGGAGCCCTCCTTCCTGAGCTGAGACAAAAAGGTGTGAGCCGGAGGCTAAAACACTGTGAGCTAGCTCACACTGACTCAGCTTAGAGGGAACCCTGGTCTTTAACGGTGAGAGGCGGGAGACCCCAAGAGCCGCGCAGAGAGCCAAGTGTGGGGAGAAAACAAGGAGCCCAGAACAGACTGTGAACAAAAAAAGGGGGGAGGAAACAGACTCCCGGGAAGGAAACGGCGGCGCCGGCCAAGGCTGTGCGTGCCTGAAAAGCCCTCCGATGCCCCGGAAGGATGGAGGAGAGCAGGCTGGGGAGGAACCGAGACTGAGCAGCGGCCCCTTTTCCGTCCTGCGGGCAGAGAGGTGCAAGGAAGAGGCGGCGCGAGGAAGCGGCGACGAGGGAGGCGCGCCCGCCCGCCCGGCCACCTCTCCTCCATTTCCTCCCCGGAGCCTCTCCAGCTGGGGCGGGCGAAGGAGCAACCGGCGGCCTCTTACCCGGTGGCGGCGTGCGTGCCTGGGTCACTCCCGCCGGCGGCCCCCGAGCCGGCCTTGCTGGGAGGAGGCTGGTGCGGAGGAAGAGGAGGAGGAGGAGGAGGCGGCTTTTCTGGGAGGAGGGGGAGGCTGGTGCAGAGGGGGAGAAGCAGGAGGAGTGCGCGGAGCAAGCTGGGGTGGTGGCGGGAAGAGGCGTGTGACAGCGGGTGGGGCTGCGGGAAGGGGCCAAGACTGACGTGGCCGCCGCTCCTGCCGCCGGGGGTGGGGTGGGGGGTGACTCTCCGGCAGGCCGCCCGGGGCGGAAACCGCTCTCTGCCGCTGAGTTCATCCTCCATCCCCGGCCAAAGCGGCCTTCCCAAGCCCAAGGGGGCCGGGCGCCAGCTGCCTTGGCCTTGCAGCTCGGCCCCGGGAAGGAGAAGGGAAGGCGTGCCGAGGGAGGCAGGTTGAGAGACGGGCCTGGCCACACCGCGGTTGAGTAACACTATTGTGGAAGGAGTAGAAAAGAGCCCAGTAGCTTCTTAAAAGGTAAAGGTTCCCTTGCTCGAAATCCAGTCGAGTCCGACTCTAGGGTTGCGGTGCTCATCTCCGTTTCCAAGCCGAAGAGCCAGCGCTGTCCGAAGACATTTCCGTGGTCATGTGGCCGGCATGACTAAACACCGAGGCGCACGGAACGCTGTTACCTTCCCACCGAAGTGGTACCTATTTATCTACTTGCAATTTCTTGCTTTCGAACTGCTAGGTTGGCAGGAGCTGGAACTAGAGATGGGAGCTCACTCCATCATGCGGCACCCGGGTCTCCAACTGCTGAACTACTGACCTTCCACAGCCTGTAGTTCAGCGTCTTAACCACTTGAGCCACCGCAGCTCCAGACTGAGGGTTGCCTTAGAGACTAACAAAATAAGTGGCAGGGGATGAGCTTTCGTGAGTCACTGCTCACTTCTTCAGATATAGCTAGAATGAGTGTCCATTAGCCTACTTATTGCACAGTGGAGTGGTTTCAGATGCTGAATGACATTAACAGGTGAATGACAACAGCAGGCAAATGAGGATGCAGGCAAATGACAATAGTGGGCGTGATTGGATTTAGGTGAGATATGCAGAGGGATAATAGGCATGGAGAAAAAAGTATTGGTAATGAGTCAGGAAACCTAGGCCTTGATTCAGGCCAGGTGGGTGCATTGTCTTGAGCTTCAGTTGCAATTCAGCAGTGGAAGGAATATTTTATCTGCATTCCTGTGCTGTTAAAGGTGGTGGTGGGGAGAATGCTAAAAAGTGTGTGTGTAGAGACTGGGCTTCATTGGGTCCTCTGACCACGTTGCAACCTCTTCCTAAACATCACTTGGGAGCAGTTTTTCAGTGCACTCAGCTTGGAAAAATCGATGGGAAGGAGCCAGTGCATCCCAGTCATCAGGGCCATTCCTTTTTTCCTTCCTCTCTGAAGTCTGTGTATCTTGTGTTTGCTTTTAGGCCGTAGTGGATGGGGAGCTCCCTCTCTCTCTCTCTGTCTCTCTCTGTCTGTCTGTCTCTCTCTGTCTGCCTGACTCTCTCTCTCCCCCCCCACCCCACACACAGACAGAATCACCAGCAATTTCTAAAATCCCATCCCACACACGTCCCTCACCTCTCCCCGAGAAACGCAGCTGGCAGGATTGCCAGATTTTCAATCTGAAGTTCTCATCACAGAGTCTCAGGATTAGGGGTGGCCACAGAGGGACTCTGATGGGAAGAACAGCTTCTGCCTGAGGTGAGATAGGGAAATTGCTCAGGAAATGTGAGAGAGGGAGAAAAGTACCTCTTTCAGGGGTAGCCACAGAGGGACTCTGATGGGAAGAACAGCTTCTGCCTGAGGTGAGATAGGGAAATTGCTCAGGAAATGTGAGAGAGGGAGAAAAGTACCTCTTTTTCTACCTGCTCTATCCCATGCATAATCGTATAAACCTCAATCATGTCACCCCTCAGTCGTCGTTTCTCCAAGCTAAAGAGCCCTAAGCGCCTTAACCTTTCCTCATAGGGAAAGTGTTCCAACCCTGTTATCATTCCAGTTGCCCTTTTCTGCACTTTTTCCAAAGCTATAATATCCTTTTTAAGGTGTGACCAGAACTGCCCCTGCGGTACCCCACTGCTTACCACCCTCCACTGAGAAAATTGCCCACCTACACTCACTCTCTGTTTTCTATGAACTAGCCAGTTTTTGATCCATAAAAGGACTTGTCCTTCTATCCCATGATTTTTGAGCTTACTTAGGAGCCTTTGATGAGGAACTTTATCAAAAGCTTTCTGGAAGTCAAGGTAAATAATATCTATTGGATCCCCCTTGTCCACATGTTTGTTCACCCCCTCAAAGAACACTAACAGGTTAGTGAGACAAGATCTTCCCTTACAGAAACCGTGCTGAGTCTGCCTCAATAGGTTTTGTTCATCTATGTGCCTACTAATTCTTTCCTTAATAATGGTTTCCACCAATTTACCCGGTATCGACGTCAGACTGACTGGCCTGTAATTTCCCGGATCTCCTCTGGAACCCTTTTTAAAGATGGGAGTGACATTAGCTACCTTCCAATCCTCAGGAATGGAGGCAGATTTTAAGGAAAGATTACATATCTTTGTCAGGAGATCTACAAGTTCACATTTGAGTTCTTTCAGAACTCTCGGATGTATGCCATCTGGGCCTGGTGATTTTTCAGTTTTTAAGTTGTCTATCAGTTTTAGGACCTCCTCTCTCGTCACCTCAATCTGACTCAGGTCTTTCAACACCCCTCCTGAAATCAGTGGTTCTGGAGTGGGCAAGCACTTCTCATCTTCCACAGTGAAGACGGAGGCAAAAAATGCATTTAGCTTCTCAGCCATTTCCCTATCATCCTTCAATACTCCTTTTACCCCTTGGTCATCCAAGGGCCCCACTGCCTCCCTGGCTGGTTTCCTGCTTCTAATGTATTTGAAGAAAGTTTTATTGTTGGTTTTGACGTTTTTTGCTATATGCTCCTCATATTCCCTTTTTGCCTGCCTGACCACAGACTTGCATTTTATTTGCCATAGCCTGTGTTCCGTTTTATCAGCCTCACTGTGACTAGCTTTCCACTGCTTAAAGGAATCCTTTTTACCTTTTACAGCTTCCATTACTTTGTTTGTTAACCATGCAGGCTTTTTCCTATACCTGTTTGTGCCTTTCCTAACCTGCGGAATATATATTTTTTGAGCTTCTAGGATCGTAGTTTTAAATAGATCCCAAGCTTCCCCAATTGTTTTGACCCTTTCTACTTTTCCTTTCAGTTTCCTCCCCACGTGTCCCCTCATATCAGAGAAATTACCCCTTTTAAAGTTAAAAATGGTTGTGTGAGTCTTTTTGGCCAATTCTCTATTTGTACAAATGATGAACTCAACAACATTATGATCACTGTTTCCAAGCGGTGCAATCACTTTTACATCTCTCACCAGGTCTTGAGTGTTACTTAGGACCAAATCAAGGATCGCCTCTCCCCTGGTAGGTTCCGTGACCATCTGCTCCATAGCACAGTATCTGAGCAACTTTGTAAAACCATTTTGGACAGTGCTGCCCTCTTACCTTCACAGAAAAGCCCTCTTCAATAGTTCAGTTTTATTAATATTATTATGCAGATTTTGCGGAAAGCCAGGAGTGCGGGCCATTCTACAGGGTGGGAACTATGCCGAAGAAGAAGAGACTGGATTTATACCTCACCCTTCACTACCTGAAGGAGTCTCAGAGCGGCTTACAATCTCCTTTCCCTTCCCTTCCCCTCCCCACAACAGACACCCTGTGAGGTAGGTGGGTCTGAGAGAGCTCTTTTGAAGACGGCTCTTGAGAGAACAGCTCTGAGAGAACTTGTGACTGACCCAAGGTCACACCAGCAGCTGCATGTGGAGAAGTGGGGAGTCGAACCCGGTGCTCCCAGATTAGAGTCTGTCCTCCTAACCACTACACCATGCTGGCTCTCTTATGCGTGCCGGAGAAAGCACATGTACGGGCAGTTGTTGATTTTGCCCATTTTCAGGTTGGCACCAGTGCACCTTGTGAGCAAAAATTCTACTTTGTGAGCTGCTGGCATTAAAGTTGTGAGCGAGCGATTTGGCTTCTGTGTAAATTAGTTTGCTTCCTGAGCGAAGACAAAAATGTGTGAGCTGGAGCCTAACAAACTGTGAGCTAGCTCACACAAACTCAGGAAACACTGGTTGGCACCTGCAGAAGTCTCTGCTGACTTGAGTGAAGTTGTCATGGTTGGGAGCATAGGGGGAGACGTTTGCTGGTGCTTATATGTGTTATCTTGCATGGCTGGAGGAAGGGGCAACCCTAGGCCTAATTCTTTAATTCTCCCTTCCCCCAGTTGACACAAGCTGACTCCTAGGCCTAATTCTTTAATTTTCCCTTCCCCCAGTTGACACAAGCTGACTGTGGTCTGTAGAGCCTGGGAGGAGGCTGCCAACATAGTGTCCCCAAACATACTGCTGCGCTTTCCCCCAGAGAGCCAGTCTGGTGTAGTGGTTAAGTGCGCGGACTCTAATCTGGGAGAGCTGGGTTTGATTCCCCACTCCTCCGCTTGCACGTGGCTGGATGACCTTGGGCAAGCCATAGTTCTGATAAGAGCTGTCCTTCAAAAAGAGCAGTTTCTGTCAGAGCTCTCTCAGCCCCACCTACCTCACAGGGTGTCTGTTGTGGGGAGGGGAAGGGAAAGGAGTTTGTAAACCGCTCTGAGACACCTTTGGGTAGTGAAGGGCGGGATCCAATCTCTTCTTTTTCTTCAAATGAAGGACACTCCCTTTTGCTTAGGATGCTAGTGAGATCTGGTCTAAACCAGCTCCTGGAGAAGCTGGCTTTTAGGAATCCAGTCTTTCTCCTGTTCCACACAGACAGGTTTTTGTCATGCTAGAGGATGATAGATTGTTGGGACAGTAGATTAAGGCTGCAAGTCTACTGTGCTGGGAGAATGCCCCACTGAGTAGTATGAGGCTTTCTTCTGAGCAGACCTGCTCAGGATTCCTCCCTCAATGATGACAGCTGGGTTTTTGTATGTGTACAGACCGATTTTTTTACTCTGCCGAAATGTGATTTAGGCACTGATTTT